GGACAAGTGGACAAGTGGACAAGTGGACAAGTGGACAAGTGGACAAACTGACAAACAGAAATTAATTTTCATTTTGGGAAGAAGAAGAAAATCTTATTTTGGCTATAACTTTTGACCCCTCATTCGACGGGTATTTTTAAAAGGAATACAACTAAAACATTGCGAGGGGGCATTTATCCCCACCGGCCCCAACAGCTCCAAATTTCGAAATTTTCACTTTTTCACTTTCACCGCTCTCTCTCCCAAGCCAATTGATTTTCTTAAAGTCTTGGTATGCAATCCTTTAAGTTTTTGCAATACCTTTCGATTGGTGTATTACTCATTACGATCGGACTATCACAGCAGATTTTCAATTTTGCGGCTATATAATAGTAGTCGCCTTCGCACACTCTCCTGGTGCGCTTCGTCACTACATGGACTGCCGTCCATAGTGATCATTTTTAGGTTTTCCCTTTGGTGACAAAAGTTCAGTGAAGTCCAAATTACTTTTAGTACATATGTATGTGTATCTAACGTGTTGCTTTTTTGGGCGTTCTTATTTTTTTTGGGAGGGGTATATTGGGGGCTGTATAGTCTTCAAGAGTGGGGCAGGCAATCTTCTGGGGCATCCAGTCGCAACCGTTTTGTGGCGCAATTGTCTCAACCGTCGACGCGTCGCTTGCGTATCGCATATCGCACCTGATGGGCTGGTCCAAAACAGCCGGCTAAAACCGAACGAACCGCTCCACCCTTTGGGCCAACCCACCTCCCACCTCCCACCTGCCCCCCTAACCATCTTTTTCTTGGAGCTTGGAGCTCAGAGCCCAAAGCCAAAGACCCGGGCCCAAGTGGCAGCAGCAGCCAACCATTCGTATAATTGTCGATGCGTTAAGGTAATTGTACACCCAGCCAACTGGCTGCCAACTGAGGCAGCAGTTTAGACCTGGCCAAAAGCAGAAAAGCAGAGCGGAGCAAGGCCGACCCAGCCACAGCACAAAGAGAAATTAATCAGCATATATATATTTTATTAACTTTAAAGCCAAAATATTTTTTTAATATTTTAATTTAAATTTTTAGTTTTTGAAATGTGTTAGTTGTATATTATATATTTGTATGTACATTGTAGGGGAGAGTGGGGGAATTTCGTCACAGGGGCAATTTCGTCACCTGCAATATCTCGGAATCCATAAGTCGTAAAAATATATAATTTTTTTGTTTTAGTCCTTCAAGACGGCCAGACACAACCAATGCATTTGTTTTGCACAGAAGGCCAAGATAATTAAGATATAATATTAAATGTGTTTTAACAGTTCAAAAGCTACATTTAGTTCTCGACGAAATTTTTTCTGTATGCCACAATTCAAAAGGAATAAGATACACGATTTTTTATATAATACACAGTGCTATAATGTGCATTTCTGCGTCAGTGATTTTTAACTTCGCGCCTAATTTCGCAAGAAAAATAATTATTTCTAAAAAAGTACGGTCTGGGGAAATTTCGCCACCCTACGCTAAGGGTAAATTCGCACCTATTTTAAATACATATTTTTATATTTGACGAGCTGGCTAACGAACAGACTACCAGCAGCAGCAACAAATATAGGACGTCAACAAAAATGGTACGCTTGATCAGTGTAGCATATTTTCAGGCGTTAAACTCCCTACATTTTTCAGGTGACGAAATTTCCCCAGTTGTGTGGTGATTTTACCCCCTGTGTGGTGAGATTGCCCCAGTATATTGGTTTTACATTTTATTTTTTTATAAATCACCAAGCTAATTAAAAAAATAGGGGAATGTCACATTTTAAAGCTTGGTGCTAACCGCATTCAACAATAAAAATAGAAATATGATAACGTGTCTCAAGATGGACAAAAAATAGCTTTGAAAAAATGCTGACGAAATTCCCCCACTCTCCCCTACATATTAGAAATATACCTACTAGAAATAATAAAGAGCCTGAAACGAGAAAAAATAGCAAAATACATTTTTTTTAAGTAATTTTAACTTAAAAAACAAATGTATTTATTTTTGAATTGTTTAAATAATTCCTTCCGAACTAAATCTTTTCCCAACATTTTTTAAATATTGCAATTTTAATACAAATATATTACTTTTCTCGAACAGTGCACATGTGTATCTGTATCTTGAAGCATACCATTTCCGAGGGGGCAGGGGGATTGGGGGTTTTTTAGTGGGTGGTGGGTGGAAGGGGTGGAAAGAGGGGGGTGTCACCGGGATAGATATGTAGCTCTAGCTTCTGTTCAATGCCGTCGCCGCAGTTGTAGTTGCCATCGTCGTCGATTCACTCAGTCGTTTCTAAGTTTGCGTTTGTCGTCGTTTGCCATATTGATGGCACGCTCCGCCGCCTGGCTTTTCCCCTGCCCCGCCCACTTTTCCGCCTTCGCCCCCTTGGAGAGCATTTAAAATTTTAGTTTTGTGCTGACAACTAGCATTTTGCCATTTTGCCCATAGACAGACATCGGTCTTAGTTTGGTTTTCGGTTTTCGGTGTTTGGTTTTCGGTCTGATTTGCTAGATTTGATTTCAGGAAATCTCAACCTCTTCTGCGTCTTCCATCTCTATCTTCATCTCTATCTTTATCCACCTGCCTGAATGCATTCGGTTTTGGATTCCGATTTGGATACCGATTCCCATTTGGATACGCATTTGTCAGGCCCTTTTGTTGGCCGCATTGTCTCCATTCGCCTTTTGTTGCCACTTGCAATTGAAAAATTATAGCAATTAAATGGCAGCAAACTGACCAAGGTCCAGTTGGTTTGGCAATGCGAAATGGTATTAGATTCACTGCGGTTTTGCCCCAACCATCAATGAAAGTGGCCACTCGATAGGCTTATTTACTCGATGTTCTGCTCATTGCGCTTTTCGCTTGAGTTCCCTGTGGTCAAACAGACGTGTGATTAATCAGTTAAATGCCAGAAGAAAGTATAGTTAAGTTTGATATTTTATGTTTTGATATTACTAGAAATATTTGTGAGTTCCTAGCAAAAAGTCCTCAGAAATTTTTAAAAAGTTACAGCAAAAAATCGACTAAGAAAAATTTTTAATTTGTACCAAAAATCAAAATCCCTATTTTCCACCCAAAAAAATATAGTATTTTGGTCATAAAAATTGAAATAATGATCCAAATATGGAATGTCATACCTCGTTGAACTCGTAATAAAATACCCAATTAATATGCATTTAAACCTTATCAAAAATGTGAAAATTGGCGAAAATTTTATTTTTCCAAAATCACACGAAAAGTTTACTGATATTAATTATTAGGTTGTTAGCTGCCCAAAACAGTACGCCTTTTTGATTTGGGATAATTATTGCCCAAGTTATAGCAAAAAATCGATTAAGAAATATTTCAAATTTGTACCAAAAATCTAAATCCTGATTTTTAACACAAACAAAACGAGTATTTTGGCCATAAAAATTGAAATAATGATCCAAATATGAAATATGTCATACCTCCTTGAACTCGTAATAAAATACCCAATTAATCTGCATTTAAACCTGAAAATTTTTAATTTTTGCCAATTTTCGCAAAAAATTATGATGTAACCCCTTATCAAAAATTTTAAAATTGACGAAAATTTTATTTTTTCAAAATCACACGGAAAGTTTACTGATATTAATTATTAGGTTGTTAACTGCCCAAAACAGTACGCCTTTTTGATTTCGGACCATTTTTAACCAAGTTACAGCAAATAAATAAATACAATAAATACAGCAAACAATAAATTCGTACCAAAAATTAAAATTGTAATACCAGAGAATTATACAAAAAATATAACATTTCTAAGTTAAGAAATAAATCAATTAATGTTTAATTTAACCTTAATCTTTAAATCATTAATATACACAATATCTTGGAACGCCTGAAGGTTTTCAATCCCACTTTTATTGGCGCTTACTTTTTTTTTTGGGAGTTCTTTCCCGAGGACCGTTTCCGAAGTCCCCACTCCCAATCGACATGGGTACATGGCTACATGGAGGCAACTGCATCGGCACACATATATCACGCATATCACACATATCACCGCATATCCGAGAGGTTTCGAGTTTGTTCGCTGGCAGTTTCGTATAATTTTTATATGCAGTCATCAACAGCTCATATATATTTTTATTGCCCGAGCGAACGGCGATATGCATCTGAGGCATCAGAAACAAGAAAAAGATCGGGCGGCAGATGAAGATGCGGCTGAATCCGAATACGAATCCCCATACCCATCCCAATCCCAATCCAAAGATCATTATGATGATGATGACTATTTCTGCGTACAGATTTCCAATAAAAATTCTGTCGACTTGAGTTCGGTTTTCAGTTTTCGGGGCCGAGTCTCCAGTCTCCGTATTTCATTCGTTGTATGTGAGCGAGATTTACACGCTGATACAAGAAAATACATATAAAAGTAACAATAAAGGCTGCTACGTTAGTCACTCCGATTCTGAAGCTGATTCCGATTCTCATTCCGATTCCGATTCTGAATCTGAATCCGAATCCCCTTCTGGGCGTTAAGATTTATTTCTTTATTTTGGCAGCCAGTGGCCAGTTGTCTCGTTTCTGTTTTATTACCAGGAAATTTGTATTTAATACCTTTTTTCCGCGTTTCTGTAGCGGCTTTTCGGGTGCTTAGCCCACTGACCACCGCTAACCGAAGGGTTAACCGCCGGTTATCTAGGCCCTCGATCGACACGATCTACTTGGCCCAAAAGTGTGTGAGGTCGGTAGCCAATTTTCAATGGAAGCCACACACAATCAATCGGTTCGCAGAAGAGCTTCTAGCTTCTAGGCCTAGCTTCTTGTTGGCCTAATCGATTTCGGGGTATTACTAATTTTGGAGAAAAGTTAAGTTACAGAATATGCTAGATAGATAAAGCAACTACAGGAAGTTTAGTTTAATTTTTACAAAAATATTTTATAGAAAAATAATAGTTAGCCAGCGAAAATTGTCAGTTTCTTACACAAACAGTGTGAAATTCCGAAATATTTACAAGTGAAAAATCTAGAAAACATGGGTCGCGCCAAGGTGATAAGGAAGCCCCACTTGCATCGTCCTTCGAGGGATCGTATCAATCCAGAGGATTTCTATTGGACCAAAGAGGAGGTAAAGCGATCCATTCAGCGATGGTCCTTTCTCTGGGAACCGATTTCGGATTCCGATTCGGAGAGAAGTTCCATGGGAGATGGGAAGCCTCCCCTGAAGGAACTTTCTGCCTATGGAGACTGGCGTGTGCCGGAGGGGATGACCTACGACTTCCAGACGACTGGCCGCCAGATCCTCAAGAATCTGAGCAACTTTCCCTATCCCGAGATGATTCTTCCTCCCGTCTCTCTGAGCTCTTTACTACCCAACACTCTGCGCGTGAATCGACCACCCTACCTCACCCACAGAATCTTCGAGCACGTCCTTCCGGATCTCTATGAGAGGGCCAAGGAGCTCAGTAATCCCATGCAGCCCGAGGGAGCCGTGGGCTACGATCGGCGCTACTACGACAGTCCCACGCTCATCAGGTGCCTGTGCAGTCGCCCCGAGCCTCGGGGTCTCCCTCCCATGAATTTGAAGGGGGTGAGGGAGGGCGAGTCCTGGATGGATGGCCGCTGCTGTGCCAGACTGCTGGTGGAACTGAACGCCCCGCTGGTGGACTATTCCAGACTTCGTCGTGGTGGGAAACACCCTTCCAGGGGAATGAAAATCCTTAAGGGATTGAGGAAGATCAAGAAATCAGTGAAGAACTCCCGATGGATGCGTCCCAGGGCCAGGATTCTACTCTATTCGGAATCGGAGTTGGAATTGGAGGAGGTGGAGCAGCAGGAGCAGTGGGAGATGGAGGAGCAGCTGCCCTCGGAGGATTACTATGTGGAATATGCGAACGACGAACTGAATTCTGGAGAGGTGGATTTGGATGTGGAAGTGGAAGTGGAGACGGAGCAATCCTCCCAAGAACTCTTGTCGCAGATAACCCGATCCCAGTCGGATCTCACACTCGAGTACCTAAAAACCAGTCCCATGCTGAGGAGAAGTCATAGTCTAAGCAATATTTACTAGATACCAAGGTCTTTTCCCTACCATCAACAAATTTTTAAAAATATGAAAAGATCTCTGGAATAACTAAATTTTATGATATATTAAAAGCCCCCCATTCCGATTTCACGCAATTAAAAAGACCAGCAGTTAAGCGAGGAAAAAGAGCGGCAATTGTAACAGGCGGCCGGCTCATCGATCAGTTGAAATTAATAAAATACTCAATAAATGCGCTCAGAAAAACGTGTGCAAACAATCGATCAATCAGCCGATTTGACAGGGCCGCAAATCGCTGGCTGAGTTGGATTCGTTTTTAGTATTTTGAGTTGGAATTGGAACTGGGAACGGGGAACTGGAGGCCGAGTTGGCTGACAGCCAGTCTGCTACCAATCTGCGAGAGTCGAGACTTCAAAACAATTACACAGCAACATTTCCAAGAGCATCTGAATCTGTATCTGTGTATCTGTGAGATACTTTGGTATCTTTTTGGGGGGACTGAGCAAAGGAATCATAATCGAAATCGGACAACTGCCACCGTACAACTGCCGACGACTGTTGGCCTGTGGATTCAAGCGATTAATCGATAACAAATAAAAACATTTCGACAACTACTTCCAAAGAACGCGCTCCCAGCAGCCGCAAAACAAAAAACAGCAGTGCCAACTCCAGAACGAAACACACAACCAGGGGTCCCAACTCCCCTTCGCTCGCTACAGTGAGAGAAATATATAGCAATGGCACAAAAAAATTCAAAAATTAATGGTATATATTGAGTTGGGTATTTATAATTGGCAAATATAATGCATTTTGTAAAAATAGAGTGGTTTATACAAATTTTCTAACTATAATTATTTGTTTTTATTTATTATTTAATTTTAAACCTTACCTTAAATTGTTAGAATATTTAGAATATTATTAAAAAATTGTTATAGGGTATTCCTTATTTATAGAAATTTAATTTTTTTTAATTTATTAGAAATTTCTTGCAGTGCACCCCGCCTCTTAGGCAACTCCATCGGCGGCTGTCAACAACTCGACATTGTGTGTATGAGTGGCGTGGTACGCATAAATGCCATGGAAATTTTCTTTTTAATCAATTATGAGTATTAAGCCAAGGGGCCAAGCGTCCATATGGGGATCGGGATCGCTGGATGTGTGATCGCTGGGAAGAGTCTGTGTATCTTGTATCTGGTGTATCTGCTATCTGGTATCTCCGATCACCGATCGTCGGGGTGAGAGAAAAAAGAGTAGAGGCTCGTCGAATGTGAGGCGCGCGCGGCGGCCGCAAGATAAAAATCGCAAACATTCTTTATTGAATGCTGTAGATGCCAACGCCAGACATCTCCCTATATTTATATTTATATATACAAATGTGTGTTTACCATACAAGTGTAATCCCTAAGACCAAGTGGAGTGGCACTTCGAGTACTTCTCCAGCTGAAGTACCATAAATGAGATTTTTTTTGAACAGATCTGCAGGATCTTCCGAGAAGGAATTTCGAGATCTTAAGGTTTATAGATCGTTAGAGTCCTTTGAGATATATTTTCTACTTCAGTTTATATATATTTGATATACCTTCTTCCTAGCCGAAAACCAATTAACTCGAGTAACAGTTTTGTTACCCGAAAAGCTTTAATATTTTAGTCAGAACTCAGATGCCCTGCCTTTAAAGGAGTAGAGCACAACGTCAAACAAATCATAATCGGTGGCTGGTAGACAGTAGCTGCATTCGCTTCAAACGGTCGACAGTTTGTCTGTCAAATTGACATTACACGCAGCGAAGCGACTGCGACGCCGGCAGAGGTTATGTCAAGTGTCGGCAGAGGCAGAGGCACAGAGTCACCAACAAGTTGCATTTACATGGGCACAGGCTGAAGGCTCTGCTTTTGTACACTGAGCGAAACCAGTGCTAACTAAAATTTGGTAAAAAATACAGAGAAATCAAAGATATTCTATGTTTAAGAGAAAGTGGAAAATAAAATATTTCTAGAGGTTTAAAACCACTATAAAAGGTGTTGAAAAGTATGCTGTGATAATTGAAAACTTTAGTATACTTTTAGGTACCATTACAAAAGATTTTAAACCTCTAAAAAATTGTATCGGGTCATAAGATACTTTTAAGCACTTTTAAGGATAATTTATATATATTTTCGAAGCACTTTTCCACTTGGGCACATTTTAATTGAATTCATTTAATTTTATTTTCGTAGCATACTTTTAGGTACTTTAAAGGGTATTTTCAAAGCTCTAGAAATTTTTTTTTGGACACCTGTATATTTTCCAAAGAGTTTCTTAATAAAAGAACATATTTCCGATAGCCCCTATATTTTTCCCAGTGCACCTGGACCTCTGCTTGGTCTTGGAATCGGGGACTTGGTCTTGGACTTGGATTCGGATTCAGGGACTGGGGCTTTATTCCGGGCGTAGGCCGCTTGACTGACTGACGGACTGGGCTGTTGGCTTCTGTTTGCGGCGCTGACTCAGCTGAATCTGAATATGAATCCGAATCTGGACCCGAATCCCCCAGTTGGCGAGTCCAAGAATGAACCTGAAACCTGAAGATGATGAAGCCGAGGAGGCGAAGGCCTCCGATGATTTTCCGCTTGGCTTGGCCTCGCAGCAGCCTGGCAACCTGTTGGCAACTCATTAAATAATGCCGATGACTGGACAAATTCGTATTATTTTTTCTTATTTTATTTTTATTTTTTTGTGGTGATTAAACAAGGCCCGAGCATAATCCTTGCTGTGCAGTGGAATTGCATTTGACTGGGGAGACCGGAACGTTGGCGTTATAATTCAGCCAGCCCACCTCCATTCGGGGTATCCTCCTCACCCCTTACAATCCCCTTCCCGAACCCCCTTACAATCTCCTCCAGCTGACAGTTCTCCTCCTGGCGATGTTGCTTCTGGTTGCCTTCTGGTTCCTGTGTGTTTGTGTGCCAAAGTGACACTTGTACAGATTTTCTTAATGCGCCAAAGTGCCACTTGTCGTCTGTTGACGCTCCTCGTCCTGCCCCTGGATTCCCCTCCCCAAAGTATCCACAGAAATCCCAGAATCCAGAGATCGAAGCCGTTTTGTACGTGTCTCTTGGCAGTGAAATTTTGTGAAATCAGCGCTAAAACGAAGACACAAGTTTGTTCCAAGGGGAAAGATGGGGGCTTTTCGAATCCTCGAAAACTTGTCCCAGGCATACAAAATTCTAATTGCTGGCCAACGCACAATTTGTCACATGACAAATTAATAAACGACTTTCGCACCTTGGCCAAAAAGCAGTAGCAGCTGATTTTCGGCCTCACGTTGCCTGAATCGGTCCTTTGATTGAGTGGACGAGAGATGAGTTGTCGTTGCCACTGTGTGGGCTTCAATGGTGCCTGAAAGTAGTTTTCCCGTGCAAAGCAACTTAAACACTTCAGATGTGTGAGGTCTTCAGGTTTGCAACCGCAGGCAGCATATCATTCATGAGGCAGGGGTCTTAAAGAAAGTGTTTTTAAATCTGGGATATATTTGTTAACATAAACAACGTAAAAATCACTTAGGTATTAAACAAAATCTAAATAATATTTAAAATCCATCAAATTAATAAAATAAAAGGGATATAAAAACTTGTTTATATCAATAAAATAAAAACAGAGAAAAACTTGATAACATAATTAAAATACAAAATTCATTAAGGTAATGAAATACAAAATTTTGAAATATGTCAATATAAATAATTTAAATAATCAACCAAATTAATAAAATGAGAGCTATTTGGGAAGTTAATATAAATAATATTTTAAGTCCACCAAGTTAATAATATAAAAAGTTAAAAAAAATAGAAATATTGGAAAAAATCCACAAGGTTCATTTAACAACAACAATATATGAAAACTCGAAATCATTGAACTCTTTTTTTCGACGGGTGGTCAACCATTTATATATTTCACCTTTTGAGTCGCCATTATGAGTAATTACCTTCCTCCAATCACCGAACATTTAATAAATCCCAGAGGGGCGTTCTTGGGCTTCAGCAAACCAGCGACTTACTCTTAATTGCAGCTAGTTGTTGTGATTATAATAGTGTGTATCTAGAAAATAAGGAAAATCAAGAAGGGTATGCTCAACTTTCAGTCCGAAGAGTTTTATATATATGTATATTTATTATTTACTTAATTGGTTTGTGATTGTGGGTAAAAATATTTGGCTTATCGGAATACTGTGGAAATGCCATGGGGAGCACTCAATAATAATGCGATTTATTCATGTGATTGGCTTGGAATATTTGCTTTAAATTCCATTTATTTTATTTAATTTAATTTCCGGTATTTATTTTTATAACCATGGTAACTCCCAGTCGAGATAGTGACCTTAGCTAGTCAAGGATAGTCACTTGTTGCTGCTGGCTGAATGATTTTGTTGTAATACTGGGCAGAGCCCCGGGGCAGTCTTTATTTTCTTGGCTTTTTTGCCTCTATTTTTTTGTTACCCCTCTCTGGTTGAGGCTGCCACTTAATTTATTTGTCACCGAACCGAAGCGCAAATGAAGTTCGAAAAAACTAAGCGACATGCAAAGGCATCCGAGAAAAGTCAACACACACATCGTTTGAAATAATATGAAGGAGGGGAGGAAAAGCGAAGGCAGCGGCAAAAAAGCTGAAGAAATAATTACAAATTAAAATGAAACACGGAATGGGACAGACAATCGGACAGACATACAGGCAAACATATGAGGAAGAGAGCCGGGCTTTTTAAAGATGATATAGGGGGGCTTTGAGGGGCCCTGGAGTTGTACCAAGTTTATAAATAGCTGCGTTGACGACGCCGCTGGCCACGCATGCGCAAAGATTTGTCATAATTGATAAACGACAACAGCAACATTCGAGGGACGACTCCTCCATTCGAAAATGGGAAATGGGAAAAAATATGACAAGACAGCCATCGAAGTGGCCACTTTTTAGGGGTGGACCACGGCGATCTCAAGACCCGCGGTCACAGTTCCCAGTTCCCGGTGACAGTGACAGTGATCACGCCTCGTCGAACAAACAAATCGTACTTCAGGGGAAGTTTCGTTATTATTAAGAAGAGAAAACCAATAGCATTAAATAAATATTTACATTATATCTAGAAAACTAAATTGAAGACAATTCTATATTTGGAATTAATTAATTTAACCAAAAGAAGTAATTCTAAAAAATCCCAATAAAATTCAATTAAATGCAAAATTCTTATAAAAATTGTAAAGTATTAGCTAAGATTATATACAGTGTTTTTAGTAAATATTATATTAAATCTGAACATATATAAACATATCTCTTAAAAAAAAAGAATGGCTTGACCGAAAAATTCAAAAGTCAAAAATTATATTAAATTCCCAGTTTAAGCGAAAATAAATAAAAAAAAATATACATATTTTGAATAAATTTGAAATTATCACATAAAACTCCAAATTAAAATTTCTTTAGTAAAAAAGCTCTTAAATTAAATGTTATATATTGCAAAATAATTGAAATAAATTACTGTGCAAATCCCGTAAACTCAATCGATCTTCGCACAGATGCTCCGCCAGATATCCAGATACTTTCAGCAGCAGCTGCCAGACATGAAATAAAAATCCGAAACGCAGACACAGGTGACGATGACAATGACAATGACAACTTCAGCAGCCGATTCGCAATCGCAATCGCGGCTTTAACTGCAGCTTCAACTTTAAGTTGAACGATGACGCCAAATTGGCAACGCGTTTCAGTTCTTTTTTCCCCGTTTTTTTCCCCCCATTTCTTTGTATTTTTTTGTGGTCCGAACGTGAGAACCAATTGCTATGTATGGTCATTACAAGCCGTCCACGTTCGCGTCCATCTGAAGGTCCATTGGCCAGAGCGAGAGATATAAGCCATAAATATTTTAATGATGATTACATTTTAAAAACAACAGCGAGAGGCCCGGAATGAAAATCGAATGAGAGAAATCAGAGATGAAACAAGGTGCTGTGGTATGGCGATCGGGATTGGAATCGGTGGAATCGGCAGCGAATCGGGTATCCAGGATAAAGGTATCCCAGTATTCGAGTATTCCACTGATGATGAGCTACTATCCCGGCACTGGGCGACACTGACGACATTTTTCGAATTACATTGACAGGCGGGGACGACGGGACTAAAAGCGATAATTATTGCCAACTTGCGGCGCTGTAAGTGTTGGCGATCGTGTTTCGCGGCAGCGTTTGTTGCAGCTGTTGCGGCAGCCACAGTTAAAGGCTAGCCTTATTCCACCGATTTCTGCCCCCCGTTTCGGATCCCTGGTATTCCCCGATGTCCCCAACTTGGCCCTCTGCCCGATCGACGGCGTCTTGCCAATGTAATTTCAATAATTTTATCTGCCGCCGCTCGCGTCTGCCGTGATTCGATTGGCGAGCGGTGACAGATCAAAGCCGCTGCCTGGTACACACAGAGAAAATACGGAATGGAGGGAGGAGAAAATAAAAATAGAAACTTTGTCATAACAGTTACAAACTCTTGATTATCAAAATTTATTGTATTTTAGTATTTAGCCCTTGATAAAGCATTAAAATATTTCAGGATGTTTAATATATATCAATGTAAAAATTTGATTGTAATAAAACCCTTAAAAAAAATATAAGAATTACCCTTAATTAACCTTAACCTTTTTTAATATATTTTTTGAAATATATAGCCCATTTTCTCTCACTGCTTTAGCGGCGGCAAAGATCAGTGATCGGCGTTCACAAGTCAGGCGTTCACCAGTGAGGCGATGAGGCGATGGGTGGAGCTGCTCGATTCGACTGCTTTTGGAGCTGCCTGCTCCAGATGTTTAGCTGCACTTTGGCGGCTCGATGAGGAGTTCCTGCGATCGCAATCACATCCAGGGTTCAGGTTCAGGTTCAGCTTCGGATTTTCAAAGTCCCCGTATTCTTAGCGATGCGCAATCATCAACATCAGAGTGAGCGTCATCAGCCGACCACTGCCAATTACTCGGCAGCATTGTTGACATGCCTTTTGCCATTTGCATCGTTTTCGTATTGATTTGTTTAGCTCTCTGCCCCTTTTTTTCGACTTCCAAACCTCCAAACTTTCAACTCCGATTCCAAACTGATTCGATGGAGATCCGCTGCATTTTTCTCCCACGGCCCAAAAAGCGTGTGAATGGCCCAAAGGCAGTCCAGAACGCAGTTCAATGTGCCGATCAAAAATATGTCAAAAATCTATCGAAGAGCGACGATCGATCGGTTGGTTCTCGGTTGTCTTCTCCCCTGATCACAAAATCGGTTGCATTCTTAAACGTTCTGTAGGTCAGTTATCGACCTAGTTTACGTGATCTTCGCAGGTATACTTTGTTCTTTTAAAAAGGGCGCAAGGAAAGGTGTTCATTTTTTAATTGTTACCTATTGAGAGAAAATATGCAAAATATTTTAATGGAAATAAATGAAAGTAATGGTTTTTTAAAAGTGTTAAAAATATATGATTTTTTAGATTTAGATTTTCTTCTAGAACTTAAAAGCAAAAAAGATATAACGTTTTTATTGAAACAAAAATATATAAGGTCCAAAAACTAAAAAACTAGAAACAATTTGTACTACAATAGATTTTGTAACTATTATTTATTTATTTCTTTATTCGCCAACAGTAAAAAAAACCTTAACTGGCTACTAACTA